ATTCCACTTTCTCCATATTACCTTCTTTTTCTATAACACTGCTTAAAAATGAATTTTCTTAATATTCTATGGTTTGTGCTCTTTCTTTTTTTTTTTTTTTTTAAAAAAAATTAGTTTTTGGGGAAAATTTTTACTTTTTTTTTACTTTGTTTTTTTTTTTTTTTTTTTTTTTTTTTTTTTTTTGGTAATTCTCTTATTTTTAACATTTATGTGTGAAAATCCTTTTAATAAAAAATAATATAAGTATAATATTACATAATATTATAAGTTTATGATATAATATATCATTATATAATTTATTCTTTAAAAGTTTATACATAACATTATATACATCAACTTATTTAATTATACATCACTCTTATTTAATTATTATTATAAGTTTATAATATTATGTTACATTATAACTAATAAAAAATAATTAAGAGTAATATTTTTATATAATTTTTTATACAATATTATATGTCATTTAATAATTATATTTTTTATTTTGCTAAATTAATAATATTATATATAACTACTTGTTTAATAATATTTGAAATTTTAAATAAAAAATTATTAAAAAAAATTGTCCACATCATTATACGTAACCATAGCGTTGCCCCCTTAATTTTCTGCCCACATCCCACCTAAATCATCAAATTCATCTTTTCAGATTCGCTCTTCTAGATAGGTTTCTTGTAAAATGCTTCAACGATGTCTTTATATAATTATATAATTAATTTTTTTATTTAAAAATTTATTTATAATATTATATATATTTATTTAATATTATATTATAATTATAAATTTAAAATCATAACATTATAACATTGCATAAAATTAAATCTAAATTATTTGTCAAATTTAGGTTTTGTGACCTAATAATCCTATGTCTTCTGTAAAATCTCTTCCTTTTAAATTGTAACCCGTTTAAAAAGAATCTAAGTTATTTGTCAAAATGACGTTTTATTTTTGCATTCAAATTTAATAATACAAAAATAATATTTGTTATAATTACTCATTTAATAATATTTGTTATAATATTTGAAATTTTAAATAAAAATTTGTAAAAAAAAAGAGTTGTCCACATCATTATACGTAGCTATGGCATTGCCCACCCCCCCTTCCCCCTAATTTTCTGCCCACATTCCACCCAAATCATCAAATTCATCTTTTCAGATTCGCTCTTCTAGACAGGTTTCTTGTAAAATGCTTCAACGATGTTCTAATACATTTAAGATAACGTGTCAATTCTTCTAAAATTAATGAAAATGATATAATGTTAATGTCGTATTGTAATTATAAATTTATAATTATAATATTATAATTATAAAATTAAATTTAAATTATTTCTCATAATTGAGTTTTCAGTGACCTGATAATCTTATACCTCATGTCGAATCCCCCTCTTTTAAATTGTAACTCGTTAAAAAAAAAGAAAAGAAAGAAAGTAGGATATATTGTCAAAATGGTTTTTTATTTTTATTATTCAAATATCTAGTTTTCTACCGAAAAGTGTGCCATACAAGCTTGAGATTTCCCCTATCTACAGTCTACACGGCAACATTTAATTGGCGGAAGTGAAATGGGGTGGGCTTTCGGCTTTCCCTGTAGACTTGCCCTCGAGCCCAGTCCTCTACTTAGGTTTGAACCTACTATAAAATTTCGAAACCTGAAAGACCAGAAAGCGACTAAAAAAAAACTTTCAGAAGCCAAAAGCCAAGCATTGTCCCTT